CAAGGAGAGTGGTAGCATCATCAAGTTGCTGACTAAGTGTTGCCTTTTCTTGAAGAAGCTGTTGCTGCTCTTTGTCTCGATCTTGCTGTATCTGCTCCTTCTCTTTTATTTCTCTTTGAAGCTGTTCCTGAAAGAATTCAATTTCTCTTTGTAATTGCAGATGATCTTGAATTTGAAGTAGTTTTTCTGTTCCTAAATTCTCCCAATCACTCAGTATCCTTCTTCTTAGTTGATCTTGATACTGGTCCAGACGTATTACACTAGTAGACCAATCATTATCACTAGTATATCCTATACAGTAACAAAAATAGTGCAGAATAAGAAATACACAAATTAATTACACTTAGTTACTATGGTAACCTTATTGTTGATGGATTCATGTTTAATCATTGTATGTGTGACCTCTGTCAGTTTACACAGTTAACCACATGAACATATTATTGTATATAAATACACTCATAATAATATTTCATTCACTCTAGCTCCTATTAATATCAGTGTTTCTGTATCTGCAGTCATTACATTTCACTATTGTACATAGCAGGAATGAATTGGTAATAATTAGTATCATAGGTATACGTCAAATGCTCTCATTAAATATTCATCATAAGAATTACTTACTTTATTCTAATATTATCATTACTAATTATCATTACATATTCAATACACATTGTATCTACTACTGTCTACATGTACTTACTGAGTTCAATAACTGCTGTATCACTTAGTGTTGTGTAATCGTATCTTCCTCCAAACTCAATTATCCAGTTAGTAGTTGGGGTCACACTCCACACTGAGAAAGAATGACGCCATCTCCTAGTAACATTGTCTGGTAGATTAATCTATAAAATTAAAATGATAATAATTAATTTGTGTATGACATATTAATTGATTTGATATCTGGTTAATAAACACAATAACTAACTCACAGTTTTATAGTCTGCACACTGTGTTTTATGTAACACAAAGATCACATAATAAAATTAATAATACACAATATATTAATAGACAAGTATACACAACTGAGTCTGTTATTATATCATGTGAGTCCTCAATTAAGAACTTACTAAGTGTCTGCATGTACACACATACACATACACATACTAATGACACACTAACACACATACATCTACATCTATACATGCATACACATATAAAGCTACATGTAAAGCATGCATAAT